TTATATCGAATTCCATCTGTCAAAGGATCTTTTACGTCAACGCGAATGTGTACACGGGACCTCGGTTTTTCATCCCATCCGAACGACTAGACAGCTGTCCTTGTCCGCCTCGAAAAGAACAGAATCCCTATATATGATATGAAGGAAGAAAGGGGATGGGGTGGGGCGGGGGGGTGGGTATTTGACATTTTCATGTGGCCTCGTCCAGTCGATAAAATCAGTCAGTTAGTTCAGTCGAATAATCCAGTCGAATAAACCAGTCGAATAATTCAGTCGAAAAGTTCAGTCGAATACTTCAGTCGAATAGTTCAGTCGAATAATTCAGTCGAATAATCCAGTCGAATAAACAAGTCGCTCAATATTAAGCAGCGGTGGCAGCGGGCTAAGATAATATAGTAGCAAATCATGCTCGTAGACATAGCTGATGGAGCCGAGGCATGGGGTAGGGACCGGGGGGCTTCCCAACTAGTTTCAAGAAATGAAAAGAAATGAAATGGGGTTTTAACGTCCTACTGTTCTGCTTGGAACTGGGCTTATGAAGACGGGCATACGCCATACACTATGCGATTAGGGAAATTTTGCCCGGACAGCGGCACTACGGCAAACTCTTATATCGAATTCCATCTGTCAAGGTATCTTTTACGTCCACGCCAACGTATACACGGGACCTCGGTTTTTCGTCCCATCCGAAAGACGGGACGTAAAAGATCCTTTGACAGATGGAATTCGATATAAGAGTATGCCGTAGTGCCGCTGTCCGGGCAAAATTTCCATAATCGCACAGTGTATGGTGTATGCCCGTCTTCATTAGCCCAGTTCCAAGCAGAACAGTAGGACGTTAAAACCCCATTTCATTTCTTTTCATTTCTTGAAACTAGTTGGGAAGCCCCCCGGTCCCTACCCCATGCCCCCGGCTCCTTCAGCTATGTCTACGAGCATGATTTGCTACTATATTATCTTAGCCCGCTGCACCGCTGCTTAATATTGAGCGACTTGTTTATTCGACTGAATTATTCGACTGAAGTATTCGACTGAACTTCTCGACTGAAGTATTCGACTGGATTATTCGACTGAACTAACTGGCTGATTTTATCGACTGGACGAGGCCACATGAAAATGTCAAATACCTCACACACACCCCACACACCCCGCCCCACCCCACCCCCTTTCTTCGTTCATATCATATATAGGGATTCTATTCTTTTCGAGGCGGACAAGGACAGCTGTCTAGTCTTTCGGATGGGACGAAAAACCAAGGTCCCGTGTATACATTGGCGTGGACGTAAAAGATCCCTTGACAGATGGAATTCGATATAAGAGTATGCCGTAGTGCCGCTGTCCGGGCAAAATTTCCCTCATCCCACAGTGTATGGCGTATGCCCGTCTTCATTAGCCCAGTTCCAAGCAGAACAGTAGGACGTTAAAACCCCATTTCATTTCGTTTCATTTCTTGAAACTAGTTGGGAAGCCCCCAGGTCCCTACCCCATGCCCCCGGCTCCTTCAGCTATGGCTACGAGCATGATTTGCTACTAATTATCTTAGCCCGCTGCCACCGCTACTTAATATTGAGCGACTTGTTTATTCGACTGAATTATTCGACTGAACTATTCGACTGAAGTATTCGACTGAACTTTTCGACTGGTTTATTCGACTGGTTTATTCGACTGAACTAACTGGCTGATTTTATCGACTGGACGAGGCCACATGAAAATGTCAAATACCCCACACACACCCCACACCCCCGCCCCACCCCATCCCCTTTCTTCGTTCATATCATATATAGGGACTCTATTCTTTTCGAGGCGGTCAAGGACAGCTGTCTAGTCTTTCGGATGGGACGAAAAACCGAGGTCCCGTGTATACATTGGCGTGGACGTAAAAGATCCCTTGACAGATGGAATTCGATATAAGAGTATGCCGTAGTGCCGCTGTCCGGGCAAAATTTCCCTCATCCCACAGTGTATGGCGTGTGCCCGTCTTCATTAGCCCAGTTCCAAGCAGAACAGTAGGACGTTAAAACCCCATTTCATTTCTTTTCATTTCTTGAAACTAGTTGGGAAGCCCCCAGGTCCCTACCCCATACCCCCGGCTCCTTCAGCTATAGCTACGAGCATGATTTGCTACTAATTCTCTTAGCCCGCTGCCACCGCTGCTTAATATTGAGCGACTTGTTTATTCGACTGAATTATTCGACTGGATTATTCGACTGAACTATTCGACTGAAGTATTCGACTGAACTTCTCGACTGAATTATTCGACTGGATTATTCGACTGAACTAACTGGCTGATTTTATCGACTGGACGTGGCCACATGAAAATGTCAAATACCTCACCCCCCCCCCCCCCGCCGCACCCCATCCCCTTTCTTCGTTCATATCATATATAGGGATTCTATTCTTTTCGAGGCGGACAAGGACAGCTGTCTAGTCTTTCGGATGGGACGAAAAACCAAGGTCCCGTGTATACATTGGCGTGGACGTAAAAGATCCCTTGACAGATGGAATTCGAAATAAGAGTATGCCGTAGTGCCGCTGTCCGGGCAAAATTTCACTCATCCCACAGTGTATGGCGTATGCCCGTCTTCATTAGCACAGTTCCAAGCAGAACAGTAGGACGTTAAAACCCCATTTCATTTCGTTTCATTTCTTGAAACTAGTCGGGAAGCCCCCAGGTCCCTACCCCATGCCCCCGGCTCCTTCAGCTATGGCTACGAGCATGATTTGCTACTAATTATCTTAGCCCGCTGCCACCGCTACTTAATATTGAGCGACTTGTTTATTCGACTGAATTATTCGACTGAACTATTCGACTGAACTTTTCGACTGAATTATTCGACTGGATTATTCGACTGAACTAACTGACTGATTTTATCGACTGGACGAGGCCACATGAAAATGTCAAATACCTCATCCCGACACGCATATATATTGACTCTATTCTTTTCGAGGCGGACAAGGACAGCTGTCTAGTCGTTCGGATGGGACGAGCATGAACTAACTTACTGATGTTATCGACTGAACTAACTGACTGATTTTATTGACTGGACGAGGCCACATGATAATGTCAAATACCTTATCCCCATATGCCCCCCTAACCCAACATATCATATATAGGGACTCTATATTCTTTTGGAGGTGGACAAGGACAGATGTCTAGTCGTTCGGATGGGACGAAAAACCGAGGTCCCGTGTACACATTGGCGTGCACTTAAAAGATGGGGGCATATGGGGATGAGGGAAAAAGTAAAGCATGACTTTATTAAGCCGCGGTGGCAATAACACCTTAAAGTTTTAATTTGAACAATCAAATTTGAACATGAGGGGACGTAAAAAATAAACAAAAACAATGATAAAAGATATTGGAATTAGTGCGTTTTTTCTTTAACTTATACTGATTACAAACGATTCCAAAATTTTAATAAGCCATCGACCGGTTTATTCGACTGACTATTTGATTTGGACTTAGGGTCGACTCATTCTCCGTGTGACATTTTCTTCTCGAACTGCCCAGACACAATACTATATAACACAGGGACATAACTCTATGTCTGCGATATCACCTCGGTGGAAGCGGACGTTAAATAAAACTAACTCACACACACTCTATGAATAGGGACTATTAAACCGGAAATAGGGAATCAAGTAGTACCACTCACGTTGTGAGACATCAAGTAATTATATCATATTCATTTTAAAAGAAATAAATCCAGTGTATCTCCCACGTATTGTAAATAAAATATAAAAAAAATAAATACATGTTAACGTATTGTAAAATGATAAATCAAAGTAAAAATTCCCGTAAAATATTATTGTTTATATCGCGTGTGTCTAGTTAATCGAGGTGCGCCCGATTGAACAAAAATAATAATACACGATAAAAAGCAGACGAAATTGTTTTCTAACGTAACAAAAAAAATACAATTAAAATGAGTGGGGCTTCGGAAGTCACTGTCAAGAATTGGCTTCAGACAAGACCTAACTAAATGTCTACATCACATTCACAAACTGTCACAAGTACTTGTGGCAGTGCTAAAAAATCTAAGAATAGTCAGAATGGAATCTGAGAGAGAGAGAGAGAGAAATGGGGTTTAACGTCCACTCGACACAAACTAGGTCATTTCGGGACTAACATATGGTTTAATTTTATTTCAATAATTCGCTTGCGCGTAGGGGTCTTTAGCAGTGGGAGGAAACCGGAGGACCCGGAGAAAACCCACGAGGTTGGACAGGCAACCCTACACCTTGTCACGTACAACCGGGGATTCGAAACCACGCCAGTCGACTCAATGACAGACTTTATGATACAGCGTGCGCACGCTAACCATTCAGCCATCCAACCCCCCAGAATGGAATCTAATCATATTTCAATTCGTTATGAATTAAAGTAATATCTTGTTATTTAGGTGTTTTACTTTGAAACTGAAAAACTGCTAATCAATTTTTAAATTTGCTAATCAAATTTGGCAAAATTGGACTTTTTGATTAGCAGTGCTGCTAATCAACTGTGAAAAATTACCGACAGCCCTGATTGTTAATAAACTGACCCAACCCGGTCAAGATTTAGACACAAGCCGTGGCACCAGAGTAAAAAGTATATTGTAAGCCTGGCCAAGGAAGTCACTGGTGACAAAATAAACGTCAATAGGGTCCTTGGTAATGGTTAGTGTATTGGCCATGTGTATACTAACAGCTAAAAATGTTCCTGTCACCCGTGTTACAGTGTACGAGGACAAAAATTAATTTAATGAAATAGATAAAACAGAGATTAATTGATTCTGAATACTATGGAAATATTAATCCGGCTGAGAAATCTAATCTGGAAGCCATCAGTGGAAATTTGGGCAGATTAAGCTTGCATGGGACCCTTGGAAAACTATCATATTCTGGTCATTGTCCATCATACATACAAATACAATTTGTATATAAGAATGGTTGATTGATTTGGCACAACATATTAAGTCAACTCATAAATGCAGACAGTAAATGAAATGTAAGATAACTAAAAATTTACAAATGCTTTATTTCTTCCATATAATATAACATGTTACATACCAGTTCTGACATATATTCACATACAATGACATATATTAAAATATCTATTGAGTTGGCAGTCAGCATGTCAAAAATGATCATCCAGTTGTTGCCAGGCAAGATACCGCCACATTTTGCAAGAGGTGGATAGAGAACAAGTTAAAAAATCAAAAGAAGCGATTTTTCGTACAATCAGGGACTATAATCCAGGAAGTTATGGTCTGAAATGCCCAAATATCGAAATGGACTGAGATATTTGGGATATAAAGATATATTTTAAGTTTCATTAAAATCGGATAAAAATTGTGACTTCTAGAGGGAGTCCACAACCTTCGTATTACATACATTTACACTATTTGTATACTAGGGGCGGCCATTGTGTCTGGCAGTTTTGATTCGATTTTCTTGAAATTCAAACTCGGCAACAATCATTAGGGTGTAATGGTGATATATTCAAACCTTATTTTAAATCAGATAAAAATTGTGACCTCTAGAGGGACCACAACCTAAAAACGCGATTTTTCATACAATCAAGGGTCATAATTCAGGAAGTCACGATCCGATATGCACGAATATCGAACAGAACCAAGATCTCTAGAGTGTCCACAAGCTAAAAACTTGATTTTTCGTACAATCAGGGCCCCTAATCCATGAAGTTTTGATCCGATGCATGCCAATATCGTACGGAACCGAGATCTTTTGGAGATAAACCTATATTTCAAGTTTCGTTAAAATCGGATAAGAATTGTGATCTGTAGAGTGTCCACAAACAAATTGTGGACGAACAGACGGACGTCCGTACAAGGGTGATGACAATATAAGTCTACATGAAAATATGGGCGTATAAAAATAGTATGGTTACATAATCAACTAATAAACAATGTTCATGACTAGGTTTTTAAAACATTAAATAACAAAAATAAACTACTACTAATATAAAAACAAATATACAAGCACTTTTTCTTAAGCAATTTTTCAATAAAATCATGCTGTTAGGATACAGATAATGACATACAGATCTGAAAATCATTTGTATCAGCATTTCAAAATTTGGCAATTAAAAATAAACAAGTTCTCTGACTAAAATTGAAAAAAAAAGCCACTGCTCAGTAAAATGAGTAAACAAAATGAATCAACTAAAATGTTTAAAGTTACAATTTCATATTTTTAAGTTATATTTTCAAAATGTATTAAAATAAAGCCCTAAAATAGATGGTATCTATAAACAGTCCTACCTTGTTAAAGAATAATCCTATTAATCCTATAATTCACTATTGCCAGTTGAGAATTTGGCAAAAATTTCATTTTCAACTTCAAATTCAAACGTTTGAAGATAGCTATTCCATGGTGGGTAATAGGAAAACAAGGGAGGTAATTGTGTTATTATTTCCGGTGTGGAGATTTTTAAGTGTGAGAAAGATAACCTATGATTGTATAATAGTGAGTTGACAACCTATTGAGCAAAAGACATAGAAATAATTATGTTTTGACTTTCTTAGAAAATATGAAATTGTAACTTTAACAAAAATATATTACTACATTAAACACAAACTGAGATAGGCCTACAATACAGTTATGTGGGGTCCCCAAATATGAAATGCACTGTTTACAAAATGATCAATTTCACTACCTGCAACATATCACTATAAAAACGATAAACATAATTATGTCTACATAAAAATCAAAAAAAAATATTGAATGAAGTTTCTATTAAATCATACATGTAACAGAACAATCTTTTTTAAAGAATAAAAAAATAAACCATACATGGAGATCACATCACTTATTGAGCTTAGTTTGACTCAAAATTAGTTCTCATAACTTATATTGTTTGCTGACCTAAATGGATTTTTCGATACAATAAAATCTTATCTTATCTAAAATCTTATCTAACTTTTCTGCCCATTACCGTACTATTGCTCATAATTAAATTCTAATGTAACACACAATTATCACTTTAGCTTTATAATTCTAATTTGGTTTATAATTCAAACTACTGTAGTTTGTTAATCCTTGACCCAATATCATCAATTAATATCAATTATTTTGTTTAAATCCCACAAGTCGAACCTATTTTGTTCATAATTTTAACTATCATTCTCAAAATATTATCTCAAAACTTTATCTTACTTACACAATGTTCTTTACAATAATAACTTCTTGCATCATTAATTAGATTTGTGGTTCTTTTTTTATTATTAACATCCCCTCACATCTCTTAGCCGAAAATTGGTTTTAGAGTTTTTAAATTGTTATTTCCCTTTGATAGATAAGATAAGATGTTTATTGCATCAAAACGTCCATGAAGGACAGCATGCATACATATACATACACTTAGACATAGTCATATACATTCAATAATAAATATTACATAACACAATACATTCATACAAACAGTGTCTCCTATCTTGGAGATAAAATAAAATTTCTGATAATCCAAATCCATTTGGTGTAATAGCAAAGTGCACAACGCCAAATGCCCCCAACAATTTTGATTCAATGACTCTACCTAAACTAAATACATTTAGTACCTAAAGGTGACTAGTGGTCAAAATATGGACATTACCAAGTTAATGATTAGTTTTGTACAACATTAAATCATGGTAAAGACTGAATGATCAAGATTGATGAGTAACCAGTTGCAGGGTCAAACAATAACTATTGTATATTAAATTTAAAATGCATAATTAGCAACCTTTGTAGCTTTCATATTGAGATGTTAAAATTTTACAAATCTCTTCAGATAAAACTTTCCATTTTTTACCATGTACCGAAATGTCTATTTTGTCTGGATGAAAGTGAACAACAGCTTTTTGATACAACTTTTTAAGTTGGGCTGGTTCGGGTTGATCTGGTAACTCTCCTAATACATGTTTGTCATTTTTTGGAGGATGTGTTTTGTACAGAAATTTGAGAAAGTCTACTTTTCCTTCTTCAAATTTCTTTTTTAAGTCAAAAAGTTCATCTTTTAACTCATTCATGATTTCTTCGCGTGCCAAACGATTTTCTTCATCTTCTCTCATCCTCTCTTCATCCTGAAAACCTTTTAACCCTTCTGCAGCCACACGGTACCATTCTGAAACAAAACAATAAAATGAATTAAACTTAAGTTATTTTTTGATTCTATGAAAATAAATTATCAACCGTGGCTGCCAGGCAGAATACGCCCACATTTTGCAAGAGATGGATAGAAAACAAGCTTAACAAAAAGTGATTTTTTGTAAAATCAAGGGTCATAATTCAGGAAGTTATGACCCGATATGTGCGAATATTGACAGGAACCAAGATCTTTGGGTTATAAAGATATATTTCAAGTTGCATCAAAATCAGATCAACACTGTGACTTCTAGAGGGTCTACAACCTGGATATACCATATATTTACACTATTTGCGTACAAGGGGTGTCCATTTTGTCCGGCAGTTTTGGTCCGATTTTCACGAAATTGAAACTCAGCCGTCATTAGGGTGTAAAACGGTGAAATATTCAAACAATTTTTTTTTCAATCGGATAAAAATTGTGACCTCTAGAGGGACCACAAGCTAAAAACGCGATTTTTTGTACAATCAAGGGCCATAATACAGGAAGTTACGATCTGATATGCGTGAATATCACCAGGAACCAAGATCTTTGGGTTATAAACATGTATTTAAAGTTTCATCAAAACAGATGAAAATTGTGACCTCTAGAGTGTCCACAAGCTTGATATACCATATATACACTATTTGCGTACGAGGGGTGGCCAATTTGTCTGGCAGTTTTAGTCCAATTTTCTCGAAATTGGAACTCAAGCATCATCACAGTTTAACGGTGATATATTCAAGCATTTTTTTAAATCGGATAAAAATTGTGACCTCTAGAGGGACCACAAGCTAAACACATGATTTTTAGTACAATCAGGGGCCATAATTCAGGAAGTTACGATCCGATATGCGCAAATATAGAAAGGAATCAAGATCTTTGGGTTATAAACATGCATTTCAGGTTGTATCAAAATCAAATGAAAATTGTGACCCTTAGAGTGTCCACAAGCTAAAAACGTGATTTGTCGTACAATATGGGGCCATAATCCATGAAGTTATCGTTCGATATATGCCAATATCAAAAGGAACCGAGATAGACCTATATTTTAATTTTCAGCAAAATCGGATAAAAATTGTGACCTGTAGAGTGTCCACAAACAAATTGCAAACGGACGGACAGGGGCGACGACAATATACGTCCACATGAAAATGTGGGCGTATAAAAACTCTTGTGTGTCCCTATCTTGCCATGTGGATTACAAAAAAATTAATCAATGACTTTTTTTTCATTACCTTGGTTTCCAGACACAGAACATAAGGTGATATTCTTATCTCCCTGTAGAGATTATTTATCTGCATTTTACAGAATTTCCATGCTACATTAACAAGCCAATTGAAATCCCACAGATGACACATATTAATCAACCACACATTTATTTTTTTCAAAAGTATCAACCAATCAAACTAATTATCAATTATACACTAAATTTCATCACTCTCTATCAGATAGAATCAAAGTTTTATTTCCTAAAGCATCGACCAATGAAATTGCTTAGCTCTGCTTAGCTTTAGCTCGAAATGTTAATCATTGAACTTAGTCAAGACATTCACCTAATGAACATCTATATCAAGTTTAAACATTCTACCTCAATTAAAAGCCGAGTTGTTATGTTCCAAAGTCTTGACCAATCAAATTGAACATTCTACCTCAACTAGAAGGAGAGTTATTGTGTTCCAAAGTCTCAACCTATCAAATTGCTTATCGCTCTGCTTGCCCTGAGCAGAAAGTGATCATTATCGAACTTAGTCAAGGTATTGATATGATAAAAATATACACCAAGTGTCCTCGCTCTCACTTAATTAGAACTAAAGTTATCGTGTCCCAAAGCATCAACCAATGAAATTGCTTATCTCTGCTTATCCTAAGCAGAAAATGCTCATCTTCGACCTCCATCAAGGCATTCACCAAATAAACACCTACACCAAGTTTGAACCTTCTAGCTCAATCAGAAGGAGAGTTATTGCGTTCCAAAGTGTCAGTGAATCAAATTGCTTATCGCTCTGCTTACCCTGAGCAGAAAATGCTCATTATCGAACTTAGTCAAGGTACTGATGTAATGAAACTATACAGCAAATTTCATCACTCTTACTTAATTAGAACTTAGTTATCGTGTCCCAAAGCATCAACCAATCAAATTACTTATCCCTTCTTAGCCTATGCAGAAAATGCTCATCTTCCAACTCCATCAAGGTATTGACCTAATAAACACCTACATCAAGTTTGAACATTCTAGCACAATTAGAAGGAGAGTTATTGTATGTAACAGACAGACAGACAAATGGATGAACCAATTATGATACTTATTCGGTGTATTCCCGCGAAGGCGCAGTTACAGAGCCTGACCAAAATTAATCCTTCCCATGAAGGCGCAGATATCGACTTGTCGGCTTTCGTTTGAAGAGAGGCATGTTACTATTAGGACCCAATTAACGGTGTTAAAAATTTTATGAATTTATGTTCACTCTGAATTTTATTCACCAATTGGCAACTAATGATTAAAATCATCAAATTATCCAAGTATTCAATATGAATCTTAATTTGGAGACGAACACATTATGTAGGTCTATAAGTACAATATAGAGAAGATGAAGAAATACAGAAGGTGGTACGAGGTTTGCAGCTCTACCGTTGGTACCAGTAGAAAGGGTAGGTGTATTATATTATGTCTTGCTGTATTGGCCTTCGACTTCTCATCAGTGGGACTACTACGACACAGAGGAGCACAGAACCAACAAGACTTTGGAAGGATGGCATGCAAGAATCAAGAAGCTACTTAGAAAAGCCCATCCGAATGTTTTTGAAATGATCACATTTTTACAACAAGAACAAAATATTAATGAGATTAGAATCGTTCAGTATGCTGGGGGACAGGAACTACCAGGGAAGAGATATAAATATGCTCAAATCCAAAGCCAACTCCAGGAATTAAATGGAAGACACGAGGAAGATTAATTGACTTTAGTCGATTATTTAGACAGGGTGTCTTATTTGGCGAAATTAAATTAATTTTTGTTATAATGTAGTTATGTTTTTATTTCTAATGCCAAAAATGATGCTAAAATGTTGGTTAATTAGTTACATTGGGGATTATGAAAGTGTACATTCTTATCATAACAATCTATAACACCATTGTTACGTTTTTAATCCATTTTAATCCCTAGGAGCTGGATTCCCACGAAGTTGTCGAAAACGACCTCGTTTAATCGTTACGGCCAATAACTGCGCCTTCGTGGGAATAAACCACTTATTCTACAACAAGAGGCTACACTTATTAAGGCATCTTTTTCAAATTTGGTGTGAAGCATTGTGGTTATAAGAAAACAAACCATATTGATATTCAGCATTTGATGCGAAGCATTGGCGTCAAGAGATGATGAACCCTATTGATATTCCACAATCTTCGACCTTCTGTTTAAGAGCCTGAGAGTTAGCTCTTTTTTATGAACAACCTATCAATGCAATCTTGGCTACAGTTTTTGACACATTTATTTCAAATTTGGTGTGAAGGTGCAGCTTTTGGTCAGAAGAGGGTGAAGTCCGGTGAACCCTATCAATATTCAGCATTCTGCAACTTTCTGTTCTGGAGTTACCCCCCCCCCCCCTTTGCCAAAAATTACAGGCTACAATTTTAATCAAATTTTTTTTTTCAAATACGGTCTATAGCATTGGGGCCATGAGAGGATGAACCCTCCCTTTTCCCAAAAATATGCTTTAACACATTAGGGGCTACAGTTCTTTGATTGCTATCAAATTTGGTGTGAAGAACTGGGACTGGGGATGATGAACCCTGTTGCTTTAACAGTATTCAAGGACTTTCTGTTCTAGAAATATATTATGTGTCTGGAGTATGCACTGAAAAATTAGATATTGTCCAAACAAGTGGACCCTGTAATTCGTCCTATATTTTGTTAACTGTTTTCGTAAAAAGTCCTACCTTCATTAAACATAGTTCTTGGTATCAGTGTTGTAGCCAGTTCTAACGTTCTTGTAAAATATGATTTTGCTTTGTTTTCAAGTTTTAACACTTTATGGTAAATTTTCCCAATCCTACTGGAAGCTATTGCTTCTAGTTCAATTTCTTTTTCTCTTGTTAAAATAATAACTCTACGATACTTATCAATGATATCCCATATTATATCAAAATTTATCTCTTCTTCATTTGAAATCATCTGTGAGAAAAGGTCATCAGCTGAAAAGGTTAAAAAAGATGGATTTTAAAAACTGCTATACAATTTGTATGACCCACAAATTGATAGTTAATTATCCATATATCTATGATGAATTGACAAATTTGTCCCAAATTGGTATGCCAACTAATTTGAGATTTCCTGATGTGACTTTACACATCCAGTTAATGTCAAATTTATAAAAACAGGATACGCCCACAGCAGGTAAATCGTCTGAGAGGTCAACAAGGGTTGTCGCATATTTATTCTTTTGTAGGTAATGGTCGGGCATTTACAAGTTAAATTTTGTACAGATCGGATTATAATTGTTTTTGTTTGAGGGTTCACAAGGTTCTACAAACTGAAACAAGGGCCTCAACTCTGTAATTAAGTTATAGAAATTGTTGAAATTCAACAGGCTTTTTCGTTTTACTAATTAAAATCATGCATAAATTTCATGCAGATGGGATGATAACATTTGTTGTTTGAGTGTTCACAAGGTTCAACAAAGTAAAATGGCAGTACTCTAGAGAAAATTCAACAGGCATCTTCGTTTCACCGATTTAAAAGATGTATATATTTCATACAGATCGAAGATAACATGTAACTTACCTACTTCCAGAGCCTGGAGTGATTCTGCAATACTTATTTGTTGCTGGATATCACCTTCTAATGTGTCTAAAACCTTCTTTCCTCTTGGAGTTCTCGCTAATTTTAACCCTTCCTGAATAGGGAAGTAACAGTTTGCAAGATAAGACAAGGCCTCTTTGTAGTTCTTGTCTGCAATCTTAGAAACACTAAGGTGGAAATAGCATTCTGCTATTATATGGAAAGCTGAGGATCTGATTTCGTTACCGAGTAAGAATTGAACAAAAAATTCATAGTGTCTTATTCTTATTTCGACATCTTCTTCTGTCAAAAGATCTTGAATATTCAACCAGCATTTTAAGGAACTGGTGTCTATAGAGATCAGCCATTCATCATCTCTATCTCGGCCAAACTTATCTGCTTCAAAGTAATATCTAATTGCTTGCTTTGAATAAAAATGAATTAAAGTTTTCGAGCCACTATTATTATTGAGGCATTCCATCATCTTTTCTGACATTACCGCCACATTCTTTTTTGCAGACGACTTTTCCAAATCATTCTCTGCATAATCATCGGCTTTATAATAACAATTTAAAACTTCCTGTAGTTTGTCTTTAGCAATACATGGTGTCAAATCTTGATTCTTAAATTTTCTGTACAGTTCATTTCCCATAGATCTCCATTGAAGTGATAAACCAAAAGCAGATGACATTTTTGACGCTTAGCTAAAGCTGTAAATATAAGATATTGTCTGGGAAATGAGTTGACAGAATAGTCATATCAAGTATAACAGAAACACACTAAAGCCTATATATGGAAAAACAGTTGCTGGTTTATAAACATGTAGGGTTTCGAGGATGGTACCCTCATCCTATCAAGTACATGTAATGATAAATAGGTGAAATACGTTTATCTATTTCCACTAAGGGAAATGTGACAAGTTTTTTTCAGGTTTTTCAGCATGCATAAGGTATATCAAGGAGCCTCGACACTCCAAATTGATCAAGATTATCATTAGTCGAATACCATTCCTAACAATTTCATGAAATTTGGTAAATAAGTTAACTCTGTAGAGTGAGTACAAATGAAGATAGTCACTGCCTTGTTATATAGGGTGCCAGTGCCACATAGATTGGTAGAATTGAACCATTTTTGGACAGTTATTAGTATTTAAGATTCAACTTTCACAATATATAAATAGTTTGCAGAATTACGAAATTCAAACTCAACCGTCATTATGGTTTAACGGTGATATTAGTGTGGCTTTTAAAATTGGATAAAAATTGTGACCTTTAGAGGAAACACAAGCTAAAACTGAGTTTTTGTACAATCGATGGCCATAATCCAGGAAGTTATGATCCGATATGAGCTCTTTAAATCGGATAATAATTGTGACCTCTATAAGGGACCACAAGCTAAAAACACGTTTTTTTTTGTACGATCAGGGGCCATAATTCAGGAAGTTACAATCTGATCCGAATGCGCGAATATCGAAAGGAACCAAGATCTTTGGCTTATGAACATACATTTCAAGTTTCATCAAAATAAGATGAAAATTGTGATCTCTTAGAGTGTCCGCAAGTTAAAAACGTGATTTTTTGTACAATCAGGGGCCATAATCCATGAAGTTATGGTCCGATACATACCAATATCGAAAGAAACCTATATTTCAAGTTTCGTCAGAATCAGATAAAAATTGTGACCTGTAGAGTGCCCACAAACAAATTGTGGACGGACAGGGGTGACAGCATAATACATCCACATGAAAATGTGGGCGCATAAAATCATGTTTATCATCAATCATTTAGTCAGAAGAAATAAATAACTCTAGAAATACTTTTGTGCAAATGTTCACAATCAATTACTATTTTAAATCCACTCTTCATAATATGTGTTCTGCTATACAGACGAACAATGAATTTGGTGTTTTTATCGCCTGAGAGACAAAATGCACACCTTGAATGAGGTATAAAAATGTTCTACATTGATGGCAATTATCAATGTGTTTCCTTGCATCTGTAGCCATTCCAAGAGCTATTTGACTGATATTTTCGTCTAAGTAAACGTTCGGAAATTGTTGAAAAAGAGCCTTAAAATCGAGCAAAAAAGCCAGTTGAACATGCGACTCGAAAATTGTCAAGGTGAGCGAGGCATTATGATTGGTAAAAAGACAAATCTATACCCTAACCACTTCACTATTTAAGCCTTGTAACTTATACTGTGTACTGTCTACACATGAAACAATGCTACATCAAGTTGCACTCATGCGCGTCGGTGATGGACATGAGTGAATACGCCGCCGATTCCACAAGATACTATCATTGATGTCTGTCTATTGTCACTCTATAGGATTAGGGCACCGTCAGCTAAACAATAAGAATTCGTTTGAAAGTGGAAGCATTAATTAGACCAGACTGGTGTGTTTGAGTCGATGGTTTAAAATTGAGTCATTTGGGATCCCTGCAACGGGTTGGCAACAGACATATTTGGGGAGAAAAGGCACTTTCAGCAGTAAAAAAGGGCACTGTCGTAAATAAGTGGGGGGGGGGGGGCGCACCCCTCGCGATCCCCCTTGGATCCACCTCTGAATTGGTTATTGGAAGAGAATGGTTTTATTTTGTATGCTGAATTTTTACAAGTGGCAATTCACAACCATATTTCAACAGGAATGTAAAAAGTCAAAAGCATTACCTTATTTGTTTGGAATATTCTTTATTTTGACACTGTTACTATTGTTACCGGTACTGTTCATACAGACATTACTGGAACATATGAACTTTATATGGTCTAGCTGAAGTGAAAGGAGAAAGCAAAAGATATACCGGTATGGTAACACTTTTAAAACCATTAAATTAAATTTACGTTACCACCCGTACTTTACTACTTCGCATTTGAAAAGGCAAATGTTCTTCTATAGCCTATAGTCCATGTGACAGACCTCGGATTTCGGAGTATCATTACCAATTTGATGAATAAATTCAACCATGATTTTCAGTTAGCCTGGTGCCCGAAGTGTTCAAATTTGGCTGATGGACTTCCGGTTCACTTTGCTAAATGCCATTTTTTCATTGCAATTGAGCGCGTCAAGGAAACCTTCATAACTCTTTCACAGATTGACCTATTGATATGAAATATGGCTCAAAATGTTCGCAATGACATTCTACAGCTGCTGTTATATGATACATGTTGGTGAATGAATCATATATTTTCCAAATCAACAGATTATTCTGAAAAAAGCAACGTTTTGGCATTTTTTTTCAAGATTTATTTTATAAGTTCACTACCAAATCATGTTCAGGGTAAATTTAGCCAAATTTTGTGTGTGGTCTTCTTAAGTTATTCATTTGGCATAAATAAATACGCTCAGTGACCCAGTCTGTACAGCTGCGGTGGTCGGAAACTCAACAAAAGTCTTGAGTAGACTGTCAATTTTAAAATGTTGAGCCTCGGCGAGTTAATAGGGTACTAACCATGTGAACGTTTATTTAGGGTTGTCGCAATCGCAACGATATTTGGGGACCGGTTGTTTCTGAAAAAAAAATTGTCACTGAAGACGATTTTGATATTATGTCACTTATGTGACGTCATTTTCGGTTGAATCCGTCCGATTTCCAAAATGGCCGCCAAAATTTGACGAAAAATGAATATCTTGTTAGGATGGATGAGTATCACGCAAAGCAAGACTTGTGATATATCATATATAGGGTTTCCGTAGTCATTGTACTTTGAATTGATCTATAAAATTAGTTTCCCAAAATCCAAGATGGCGAAAATTCAAAATGGCAGTCAAAATTTGATCGATGCCTCGGATAATCGTTATTTTACAGTTTGATATGCCCTGTAATATGCCGCTTAGGGGGTTTTCGATGTCACAGAACATAAATACAACCTCTAAAAAAAGGGTTTCCAAAATCCAAGATGGCGGCAAGATTTTCCCTAAAATGAATGATTTTTCAGATAATCGTCATTTTTCTGTTTTGTACGGCTTGTAATATGTCCTTTATGGGGTTTTCAGGATCACTAAACTTAAATATTACCTCAAAAATAGATTTTGGATAAGGTAGATGATTGCCTCAAAAATAGATTTTTGATATCGTAGATGATTGCTTAAGAACAAAACGGGACAATTGTCAGTCTTTCTATTGGCTTTGCTTATTATAAAATTGTGTAGTAGTTTTTTAGGGGAGGATGGAATTAATTATACTAGATCTCGTAAATCAGAAAACAAGATTTAATATTATTCCAGCAAAGCTGTATGGAATTTTAATATATCTTTGCAAATATATCTAGTTGTTAAGAAATACCTATTCTGTTTGTTCACAAATGGGCCGAAATAGTGGCTCAGTGGGTAAGGCTCAACAAGGTCCGGAATTCGATCCCTGTGTCTGGGCAAATTTTTCCTCATTTCACACTGTATGACAAATAGCCATCTTCATTGACCAAGTTAGAACAGTAGGACGTTAACCCACATTGCATTTCATTTCTGGTCCACAAATCGTAATGTGATAGATTTTTACTTTGAAGAGTCTGACATCATTTGTGGTATCATCTAGACAGATGGTATCATTGATTCATATTTGTAAATTGTGAAAGTGTAAAGTGTATTTCACAACAAGTTCTAAGTTTTAAAAATGATAATTACAGAGATAATTTGAAATACATTTACGACTAGGTATCCCAAAAGCCATGGCTCACGATTTCCTCTTTGTTAATGTCACAACCATCCACCTTATTGGAATTACTGTGACAATCGCAACTACTGTTTTTCTTCAGCAATGTACACTAGCCAAAGTACAAGAAGAAACAGGAGATCTCGGCAGCGACAATGATGATATCATTTTAATATCATAGGCCTGCCTAAAGCGAAAGAGGAAATTGGTCGACATTATTTTTGTGATGCCTAGTCGTAAATGCATTTCAAATTATCTTCGCAACGATTCTTTTTAAACTTTCAACTTGTTGTGAAATGGATCTGTCGATACGATATCTAGACTATACCACAAAAGTTGCCAGTCATGGAGTCTTTGATGAAAAACCGGTCCAGTTGTACCATATAACGAAAAAATGCGAAAAGTACCGAGATAAAAATCTGAAAAGTACCGAAAAATGCAGACAAAATACGGAAATAGTGATAAATACCGAAAAAACTTTTTGATACTAATTACCGAAAAAATTCGAAAAACCCAAAATATCGAAAAATCAATAAATAACGAAAAAACAACACTAATTACCGAAAAAAAACCTAAGCCACACATAAAAATTGCTAGGTGGGTCAGACTAGACCATGCATAAAAATGGGGGGAACTGTAGGTTACGCATTAAAATTATTGACACTCTTAGGTGGGTAATGGGTCAAGCAAGATCAGGCATAAATATAGTGGTACACTTTCAGTCAGGGGCGGATTGGGGCCGGGAACCGACCCGGGCTCCCGTGTCGGAGCTGCCCCTTTTACTGACCGCGGAGCACGGACGGGGGTTCCGGGGGCTCCCACCCTGGAAAAATTTGAAAAATGAACCCCAAATATGCGATTTTGTGGCATATCTGATTATAATCTTTGTCAAATAATATATCTCATAAATCGATTAATTTAGGCCAAAAGCCCGATCTACAAGCAATTTACAACCATCAACCTGTGAAATTATCATATCGTCATATTATTAATTGACATATTATCATTGTATCGTCGGAGTCAAGAGTCAAGAGAATTTAACTGGTTAAAAAATGGGACTAGTTGAAAATATTTTGACCATTTGATTAACCAGTTAGGAATATTGAATAAGTAGGAATATTTTCATTGTAAAATGTCCCATTTTTGTTGCCGGGAGCGCTAGTTGATTCCTCCTGTGATGGGATTCGAAATCCCCATTGCATGATTCCGAATTCCGGCCCACGCCCAGCACACCCGGCCCAGAAAGTCTATTATACCAGCCCATTCCAGACTCCAGTGATGGCGTGGCGGCCCGGTAAGGCCACCGGCCACATACAACTTGATCATCGTCGCTCCATGGCCGTTTTTTTTAGACGAATTGGACAAAATTATTTTTTTCATTTTTTGTCCGACCGGCCCTTCGGGCGATCGCATGGCCCAATCAGCGCCTGCATTCAGTTGGCCATTGATCACAATATGTCCCGCATAAGACTAGTTGGGCATTGTAGGTGGGTCATGGGTCAGGCATTTAGTAATTGAAGCATAATCAAATAACACACTATTTATGGATAACAATTTCTATAGTTTATTTCACTGCGACGTTTCAACAAGATTTCACAAGTCCTTATCAAGCATATAACATTAAGAAACAAGCCAACAGTGAGGCTGATGTCCCCCGTCCAAATCCCTAAATAAATAGAAGACAAATATTAATTAATCGCACATTTATTTTTTTCAAAAGTATCGAGCAATCAAACTGATTATCAACTATACACTAAGTTTCATCACTCTCTATCAGATAGAATCAAAGTTATCTTGTCTCAAAGCATCGATCAATGAAATTGCTTAGCTCTGCTTAGCTTTAGCCCGAAATGTTAATTACTGAACTGAGTCAAGACATTCACCTAATGAACATTTACATCAAGTTTCAGCATTCTACCCCAATTAAAAGCAGAGTTATTGTGTTCCAAAGTCTTGACCAATCAAATTGCTTATCGCTCTTTAGCCTGAGCAGAAAATTCTCACGATCGAACTTAGTCAAGCTAATATCGCCCCAAAGCATCAACCAATGAGATAGCTTATCTCTGTTTACCCTAAACAGACAATGTTCGTCATTGAACTCCATCATGGCATTCACCTAATGAACGCCTACACCCAGTTTGAACATTCTACCTCAATTAGAATGAGAGTTATTGTGTTCTAAAGTCTCGGCCAATCAAATTGCGTATCGTTCTGCTTACCCTGAGCAGAAAATGCTCATTATCGAACTTAGTCAAGGTATTGATGTAAACAAACTATACACCAAGTTTTATCACTCTCACTTAATTAGAACTAAAGTACTATCTTGTCCCAAAACATCAACCAATCAAATTGCTTATCTCTGCTTACCCTAAGCAAAAAATTCTCATCTTCGAACTCCATCAAGGCATTGGCCTAATAAACACCTACACCAAGTTTGAACATTCTAGCTCAATTAGAAAGAGAGTTATTGTGTCGCAAAAAGTGTGACAGACGGACAGACGAACCCATTTTAATAGTCCTCTGCTTTCTTCGAAAGGCGGGGGACAATAAAATGAAAAGAATATGGTTATATATATATATATACAAGAGCAGTGTGGACCCTCCAATGGGATGCAAAATCAGCTAGTATGGGCAACTGTCCCAAGCCGTTAGATAAACAAATGCACATAGACAGGTATAAACTGTAATTGGTATAGATAAGCACAAGAATAAAAGATCAAACAATTATTTAAGCGGTATAATGAACCACGAGCAATAGGCCAAAACAGTAAAACATGATAACGACTTGTGAAATCTTGTTGAAACGTCGCAGTGAAATAAACTATAGTAATTGTTATCCATAAATAGTGTGTTATTTGCTTAAAAAAGACATATTACAAGCTACATCAAACAGAATCGATCATTTTACGGAAATTCTGGCCGCCTTTTTGAATATTCACCAGCTTGGATTTTTTTTAAACACTCTGTGTTTTGGTTCATTTTAAGTTCAGTAATCCCATTCAATTGGATATTACATGTAATATCAAACTGTGAAATAACTATTATCTGACAAATTGGCCATTTGAGCAACTTTTGGCCGCCATTTTGAATTTCTGCCATTTTGGATTTGGGGCACTCATATTAGAGATTATTTTTTATGATCAATGTTTCTGATATCTAGTAAATCACTTTAGTTGACCAAATAGATAATTTGGCTTATATGGGTCTGAACAAGATTTTTTTTAGTAAACTTATGAACAGACATCATGAAAAAAACCCGAAAATATTGCTGTTTTCAGATTAATCTTTTATTTTGAAACCGAAAGCATTGATACATGAATCATATACCAGCAGATTTAGAATTGTATTATGAACATATTGAGCCA